TAGGGAAAGCACAAAACATGTTTGATTGTTAAACAGCACAAATCATGATTAAGAAGACTTTCTGTACTTTACAATGAATGTCACATGAATGAAGTGTAAATCCCTCGGAAATAACATTTCTGTAAACGGAACATAAAAGGAATGCTTGTGAACGTAAACTTCTATGAATGATCCATGGAAGAAATGCTTGCGGAAATTGTTTATCCATGATCCGTGGATGCCTTTGAATGTGTTCTTGTATTCATGAATGGAAAAAATGCATGTGATTGTAAAATTCTATCGAAGACTATTGTTAAAACCGCTTGTGAGTGTAAACTTCCATTGAAGAAGACTCATGGAAAAAATGCTTTTGTGAATGTAAACTTCCATTAAATACTCATGGAAGAAATGCTTGTGAATGTGAATGTTACCTTTCATTGGAAACTCTGGAAGATTTACTTATGATTGTAAATTTCTATTGGAAAGTCATGGAAGATATGCTTGTGATTGTAAACTTTCTTTATTAACACATACAACCTCTCCTCTCATTTTCAGTTGGATTTGTTTGTAAGCAATTTATTATAAGTAGGAGTTTGTTCTGGCTGTAAAACACTACCTGCTTAACAGGTACAGTAATACGAGATCAGCTACTTTCATGATTGTTCTTTCAATCCAGCCCATGTAGTACCTAGATTAGAAATCTATCTGATGGAAAGTAACTTTAAAATTATATCAACGAAAAATGTATTATTTGCTCAGTAATGATAGTAACTTATAATTAATGAAGAAACTATTTAAATCATTTAGTGGAGTATTATCAGTAGGCCTATCCTTTTTGGAATTTACTATTCAAGTAGGAAGGTGGTCAATATAAGTAATATGGAACAATAAACATACAAGTCTATGTCACAGCTCTAAATTTTTATTTAGGAAGAGAGAACATCAAAATCCTTTGAAACGCAATAGTGCTTTGAGAGTGGCTAGAATTACAAGAAATAGCTCAATACTCACAGTTTGCAATACTATAGTAGAAAATATTGGGATTGATCAATAAGAGGCAACCTTTCACCTACATTTTCCACATTGTGTTCAATAAAAATAATGCGAGTCATTTTGATGATCCAGAGTCAAGGAGAGAGACGACGACGGATGGGGATGTTGCAGTGATGTTAGGAGACCAGCCTTTCCAAGAGGCTGTAGAAGAATCATTTGGCACACCAAAGAGCAGAGAGAAGATACAAGTAAAACCATTCTTGATCATAGTTACCAACCCGACAGTCACTAGGGAGGACACTACTCCTATACTGCCAGAAGAAAACGAAACTTCTACGACAGAAGCTACGACAGAGGGAAACACAAAGTTCACAACTGAGATTCCAGAAACCTTTGGCGAGTCTAGAGACGCAACTGAATCTTCCATCAGGCCTACAGTTACATTTAGGCCTGGATGTGAAGATTCCGCAGCTTTTGAAAATTGTGAACCGGTCGGGACCGAAGTAGTCTTGGGTGAGTCAAGTCCATCTTCACTCCCAGAATTACCGCTCCTCGATCCCAGTTCGCAGGTTAGGTTTCCTTCTGAATCGTTCGTTCCTGTGCGAAAAACTCAGTCCTACGTTAGGTTTCCAGATGTCGCTAATCCTCACGAGGATAGACCAGCTTTTTGGTGGCCCTCCTGGGAAATCCGTCGGTACCCGGGTATCCATGGATGGCCGGAGTCTTCCGAACAGATCCGGTCCACAGATAGAGTAATCCAAAGGAAGTATCCGATGGGAACGACCTGGTCTTCCATGGCTTGGCAGAGGAGATTTTTACAAAGAGACTGAAGTATTATTTAGTATTTAATCTTTGTACATAGTTAGTTTACTCGTAAAGATTTAAAATAGTGTACATTCGCTTTTCGATAGCTTTAATTCAAAGTACTGTTGATTTCACTGATTTGCTCTTTAAAAATTTCTCTCCCATTACATCTTATTATTCCTGTGTTAGTTTGACACGAGAGCAGTCCTCAAATTAAGGTATGATGAATATTGGTTTTAAAACTACTATATACCAAGGAACATCAACTTTAAACAAATCAAATAGTACAGAAAATTTACATTAACTGAATCAATGTAGAGGAATATTTAAAGAGCATATTAGTGGCAAAAAGGGCATAATATGTGTATACTTTAAACTATATCTATGTATTATCAGGAATTCTGTATGTACCTGAAGTTTGATGCTGTATTGTTGTCTTGTGCGATTTTGTTTATCACTAATCATCATCGATGTTAGTTGTCGTATTTATCGCTTTTCTTCAATTAGGAGTTGAGTAAAGCTTGCAATTGTTTTATTTGAAGATGTGAAATGTTAAACATTTGGACTTAAATAATAATTGTTGCCCGTTTGAGAAAGAGTAAAAAACATTTTTCTATTCTTAATATTCTATTCCCTGATATATCTATGTCAATAATTGTATTTAATATACCATGTATATTATGCTCTGCGAGCAGAATTTTTAAAAATTGAAAAGCAATACTCCTTGAAGCTATTTTTCTAATTGTTAGGAAGAAAAAAAATTACAGTTCTTAATTTTGTAATTCTTAGCAAGCTTTAAAAAATAATAAAATATAAAATAAATACCTATTAAAAAGCCTTTATAGGACTACCAAACGATTACTTTGTAACAAGGAATAATATAGCGTTGATGCTTGTTAAACTTACAAATCAAAAGAAAATTATTGTTAACTGAATTTTTCAATTGATCGTATGATTTCAACTTTTCATTTACCACGAGAAAGATTTCTTTTAGGAAAGCTTTAGATTGTCAGTAAAAGTAACCTCTAGTATTTACAAAGTGTTTCATAAATACTTACTTTTACAGGCAATCCAAAACAAATTGCTTCTAGTCCTAAACACCTTTCTCGTAGTAAAAGAAAAGTGAAGGTAAAAACTCAATGTTATATTTAAGCAACATAAATATGTTATTTTTTATTGATAATAATCTAAGAAAACTTTATTCTGATAAATGAGTGAAACTCTAAAACATTCTAACTTAAAGTTGGTTAATTCTAAGTTAAACTTGTTTGTAACTCAACTCCACGTGTACAACCATATCACCACTTACCAATGTATGTAGTTTTGTATTATTTAGACTAAAGTAACTTATATATTTATTGTTATACAATCTTACATCTGTGCAGTCTTTTCATAATTTTTAGTAGCATTTTATTTCTTGCCAATTTATCTCGCATTGTTCCATAATGGTCAGTGAATATTTTAAAATTTTAATTCTACAAACAAAAATTTCAACCTACAAATTTTAATTACTTTTGAATAACCTTTTAAATGTTACTTTTACTTAAGATATGACCAGTAACTGTTTATAGATATTTTCCTTCGTCAAAACAGGTAGGTATCGAATGCCAAGTTCCAAAGTAGTATGATATGTACAAATTGTGATTATTATAAACTGCATGGAATTGTTGTTGTCAATTATGTTGTATTATACAATATACATTTGGAAAATGCATTCTACTATATTCTTTAATTCCCTTTTAAAATAAAAAACAAATCCTATTTTTAGCGAATTTCCCATATGGGAGTATTAGCAAATTTCCCATATAAGGAATAAGCTATTACCATAGGTCTCATGGTAAGGCCCGGCGCATATTGAGACGCAGTCGGAGCAGCGCAGCGTAGTGCAGCGCAGGGCAGTGTTTTGTAAACCATGTGTTTGCTAGGACACGCGCATATTATGGCGCAGCGCAGCGCAGGGCAGTGCAGTCCCGCACGTGGACTGCGCGCACTTGTGGTCGAGTCACAAGTGTCTGTGACGCATTGCTCACCTGCGCCGGGTTGACTATTGTTTTGTGACGGATCCAGAGGATAATTAATACAAATTTTGCGTTTTTATCCAGTTTTTACGTTACCATTCATAGTAAGTATATAAAGAGTAATTACAAGAATGAAATCTGGGAGAAAATACGAAAATCACTAAACATTGCAAATTTTTTCGCCCTTTCTTTCTTGTTCTCTGGTGAAGAAGGAACAATAAATCTAGATCAGCACCTGAAAATGACTCAGAACTCAGATCCTAATATTTAACAACATGTTCACACACGAAACTGTTCACTCCTATACAAGAACTGTACGACACTGCTTCCCAATATGCGATGACAACTGTGCAACACAGACATTTTGCCCAATTCTGCCCTGTGCTGTGCTGCACTGCCCGGACCGTGCCGCACAGCTCAATATGCGCCTGGGCTAAGACCTAGACCCGGGACCGATTTACTTTTTCGATTTAAGGTCCCCAGAGGCCAAAAAAATCATGTAATGGAGCAGACAACAACATGGTTCTCATACGATAAGGACAAAGTTCAGAAAAAAACTGTCAATTATTTTAAGAAGTATGTTTTTTGTATACGGTGATAGGTTTAAAGACAACATCAATTGGAATAACATAAATAAAGACTGTTGTGATGTCTGCTAAGTCATTTGGCAATAGAAAGGCACAAAACAATTTACTTTGGCACATAGCGGGACCCGCTCACAAGCGTTGCCCGACGTTCTGTATGAAAGGGGCCTTCAGAAGACTGGGACGGTGGTGTCGTCCTGAAATCCAGCTAATAGGAGGTCACGAATTGTGGGTATTTATAGGCATGCACTGTGGATGCGATACTACCTGTTGTGGACTAACGTCCGCACTAGTGAGTACTACAACTATCCGCAGTACTATCCTGATAATTAGACCAATTCGTTTATACCAAGGCAAAAATGTGGTTCGGATTCAACTGTCCTTTAGTCGCCATTAGCTGTATGAGATATTAATTAACAGCTGTGTCTAAGGAATATGTCGGCTTTAGTCACAAACAAGACTACAAGATCGCTACTCATCCTACACTCATCTCCATTCAAAATTGGCTTAAAATACCTACTTTGTGTGGTCGCTATTTCAATAAAAAGTATTAAAAGTATTAAAAGATTTAAAAAATAATGACAGACACATTCCGTAGGTTTGACAATGGAAACGTCAAGGAAATGGATCAAAGATACTAATGGTTACAAATATATTTACAAGTTTGACAAGTGTCTATTCTCACTTTAGCCCCATCTGTAATGTGCGTAGGCTCTGTTGGCTTCACAATTCTTGTGTAGGTCTTGCTTTTTCTTTATCACCCTACCCTGCAAACAAAAAATTGTAGATTATAGTGGAGGAAGATTACAGGACAAAAATACAAATAGTCAACCAACACATTGTTAGGAACAGCCATAAAGCTGATTTTGATGTTAAGATGCACAAAGAAAGATCACAAAACACATACCTTTGATAATTTTTTTCTATAAGTAGAGTATGAACCAATTGCTTGGGTTTTCAAACATAACTTAGAAATGCCTAATAGACACACAATGAGGCCTACAGTATTAAAGATACAGTTCTAGAATACAGTAAATAAAATAAAAACAATGTTCTTGTACTTAGGTATTGTCGATACATTACCGACAAACCAACTGTTTTGCCCACGAAATTGTAAAACATCTGTTGTCTCCGTGCTAATTAAATATTTTAAAACCCTCAGGAGCGGTTCGGTTTTGACGTTTCGGATTTTTGACACTCTACTGTACCTGAAAAAATTTTACACAACGAAGAAACATAACCAACCTGCTTACATAATAACAGCAATCAGTAAAAATTGTTACTAAAGATAAAGGATTTTTTTCTGGCAACCTAAAATGTATTTATTCTATTTATAAAAACATTTTGTAACAATACTTCTTATTTTTGTTCTGACAAAAGTAATATAAACTGGACAGCTGGGTGGCTACAGTGCTTGCCTAACAATCAAAAGGTTTCACAACAACCCTGAGAAAAGTCTGTTTTTTATGGATTTAATCTGGATCTCGCTGTCCTTTATGATTTTGGTTGAAATACACCCTTTGGTAGTCTCCCCATCTCAATTGGTAATAGGGTATAATATGGTAGTCTTAGGGAATGCTCTAGTTAGCTTGTAATGGAGGGTAGGGTGTGTGTGTGTTGGGTTGACTTGTGGTCAGGCCTTGCCAACCAGGAGGGGTTCTATAGGTGTTTAGAGGCTTTGCACTCAGTGGCAGTTTAGTTCAATAAATATGCCACCTGAGGTATGAAAACGGATCCACTGGCTAGGTGCCCAGTGGAGGTTTGGTGAGTAAATGTTACTCTATCTTATGGTTACGTACTTTTTGTACAGATTGTAATGGGAGGGAATGTAATTTACATGGTTCTATGTTTACAGTTAATGAGAATTCAATAACAATTTTAGTTCTAAGCTAGTGTTGGTGGGTACAATACCTGAGAAAAATTCAGTCAAATCTGAAAGGTCAAGGTTCAAACTGTGAGATTAAGATATAATGACCTCTCAGTTGCTGATTTATCAGTCCTCAAGTCAAGAGTTAGGGATTTAAACTATGCAGGTAAATTTCATTTCCCTACCTTGTTGCTGGCAGCATTAATAAGTTCCTGAGCCATCTGATCGGACCATAATATAGAGCGATCCTTGTCTCTTCCTGCTTCAATCAACCAGTTCATGGCGAGGAATGAAGCTCTGTTTGGTGTGATTGGTTTGGGGACCTAACGGCACAAAAATGTGATTTCAGGCTAAATATTAGAATATATGAGGACGAGAGTTATTCTAAAAACCAGTTGTTATATTAAGAACCGCTTGATGAATAAATGCCGTTTTATTTATTTAAATATTCCACAACAGCTATAAATAACACAAAATCGTAGGTACACCATTGGTGGATAAAGGCAACTATGAATAATCCTATACTCTTCTATGAGCAATGTTTGTAATGTATGGTATGCATGCACAAAGTAACCGCCTATGTGATATTTTTTATAAATTTTTTCTGCTTTAATACCGTACAGTATATGAATTAATGAGAATTCATTAGCTTTGATTCAAAAGTATATTATTTCCATTAAGATTCAGTTATAAAGCAAGAACATTCAAAATATTTACAATGCAAAGTCAATAAACCAACAGATGTTAATTATAACATCTGATTAATATTACAACAGGGAAGTTAATAGCTATTTACATTACAAGTGTAGTAAGAGCGTTTTTACATCACGCAGGTGAATGTTGTGCAACGAGCGAAGGCGAGTTGCATAATTCACCGAAGTGATGTAAACACGCTCTTGCGTAACGTGTAACGTACAAGATTTTACCTGACCCGACAATATTCAGGAGGTTACGAGCAATATGCTTCATTATCAATTTCACTCATCTTCTAACAGTAACGTTCATTTACAAACAAAAGCTAGGTTAGGAAAATTCTTCAAAGCATAACAATAAAATTCAAACACACAGCTGATTTCTAGCGTTGAACGTCGTTGGCTCCATAGAGGTATATTTTTTTAAGTTATCCACTCAATGTTATTTAAATGGATTTCATTACATCACCGAGTGAGTTTTTTTCAACTTACATCACTTGAGAAGTAAGGAAGTTGTATACATTACGCTTCGGATAGGGAAGTTTAACATGGCGGGTTAGGTAAATAAGTTTTCAAATGCTCCTATTGATTCGTACTGTTATTACATTGAATCGCTTCAGTATTTCGGTTATTCTATGCGTTCTTCCTCACGATCGATGCACCGAATATTGATGTGGCAGCTTTCAAATATGTAATGCATGATGTTTTGTTTACATGATGTGTTACTATTTGCAGAACGCAGGATCTTTCTGCAGAAAATAAAGTTTATAAAATAAATTTCTACAGAAAACAACTGTAACTTTTTGGCAAAAAACAAAAATTGTATTACTGCACTCGTTATGTACAAATTTTATTACTTGTTATGTAAGTTAATAATGTTTTTACTTGTTATGTAGCATTTCCTGCAAAAACTTATAGAGGGTAAAGTAAGGGTGAAAGGGCTATGTGTCCCTAACTTTACCTGTGAAAATAAATAATTTTGAATTTCAATAAAAAAATAAAAACAACCAGTTGGGCAGGATGGGCTGTCTGCAGCCAGTGCCGTTTTTCTGTAACAATGTCACACTGTCCCCTGTAGTTCTGCTTTGGGGCTTTGGTTTAACAGTGAAATAAATATTTTAATATCATATATATTTTATATAAATTTGGATTTTGACAAAAAATTTTAATCAGCTGTTTTAATTTAAACAAATGTTCAAAACAATGTTTATGCAAGTATAGCTATTATAAACAAGTGAGTTTTAATACCAACTGTAAAAATGTGATGTGGATTCCCAGGTTTAAATATCCATAAAATTAAATTGAAATTCCATTAAATAAGAAATAATAAAAAATAAAATTAGTTGTAAATAAAAAACAAGTTTCTTTTATATTGCTTTTACAATCAAAATAAACTATACCAAGCCATGGCTCTTTCCCCCGGTATTTATCAACTATAGCAGCTAGCAGCCAATAGGGCAAGACTGAGTTTTGTCTTTTAACACACTGTCCGCTAACAACATTTTTTGCATTAAGTAAATTGCAAATCCTCAAACAAATTTTAATGGTAAGTCATGTGGCCAAGTTCAGATAGTTTATCAGAGAATGTACTTAAATTTGTGTGTGTTTTAGCTACAAGATAATTTTTCTCAAATCTAACCTAAACTCTATTTTAATCATAATTGTTTTTAACTTCTGATGCTGAAGTCTAACCTAGCTAAACTCTTTTTTGATCATAGTTTTTAACTTCTGATTCTGTTTAGTAACTTAACCTTATCGAACAGGTCTTTTACATGATCATTCATGGCAAGTTTTGCTACATTTGTGACGCAAAAGTCAGGCTAGGCCTACCCCTAGAACCGGCCACACTCGAATTTCTTCCCCGGAGTGCTCAGAAGGAGCCGAGATAAATCCAGGGGTCGATACGAAGTTGTCACGGCTTTGACTGATCAATTTATTAAAATTTAATCGAAGGCTCAGAGCTCTAGAAGCGCCCAGGAAATCCTGCAGACGCCCAGTTGGAGCTATATCATCCCAGCCTTCGTAAAAGTGTTTAGGAGAATTTTGCCTAACTCTTAGAATGACTCTGTAGGGCCGATGAGTATCCAATCTTAAGCCAATGTGATCTAAATACTCGTAATGAACTTTAAAATATTTAACTAAAGGCCTAGGTAAATAATATAAAATCGAATATAATGTAAAAGCAATCCCTACAGAGTCGTCGGGGCCTAATGAATATAATTGGACGGGGAATTAATCGTGATACGTTTAAAATAAATTTGATACTAATATTTGTAGCTGAATGTTCAACTCAGCCTACTCCCAGACTTGATTCTTTCACCCGCCACAGACGGGGTTTAGAACTCAATCTACAAGTCTCGGGGTATCAAAACGTCAAATTAACTAAAATAATCCAAGTAACAATTACTCATTAAGCAAACAGAGTAATCGTATTTTGAAACTAATTAATTAAAATAAAATAATTAGACTGGCGGGTCAAGACTCAAGTTAAGATATTTAATTTAGATAATTCGAAACGGAATTTTAAGAAAACGAAAAGGTATAATAAGTTAAGTATGCGTAAGATAGAACAGAAATAACGTAAAACGTAAAAAGGGGCCTAACTCGTATGGTAGCTAACCTTCGTAATAATATCGTAGTGTCGTTGTCGTATTCGTAACTCGTGCGAGCTAGTCGGTGGTCAAACAGCGAATAATTCTTGCCCGGCTCAAATCCCGATTTCCTTGGCCGCGGCTTAAGCGCTGCGGTGGCGATTTTGGAAACTAGCCAACAGCTGATCGGGGATTCGGTCTAGTTATCGTCTGTCATCGTCAATCAACAAACACCAGTTTTAGGTTATGTCGTCGTCGTCGGTGATAAATACGGGTAAAGTCGGTCGGTTACCATTATTTGGTGAAATTGAGTGCGATCATAAATAAATATGCAGTTGTGGGTGTGTTTGTGTACTTCACTGTGAATAAAAATGGGCCTACGTTCTTTGGCCCATAGCCCAAGCTATGGCCAACACATAGGCCTAGGAGTAGGCTATTGTGGTTAAAAATCGGGTAAGTTATGGTGATCATTTATTCGTAGTATGTTTTTACCCCCCTTAAAGTTTTGTACCTTACACATTTTATCACCAAGGTTCACTATAAAAAAATCAAACTTGCATTATTTATTTATTGAACTTACTTATTTAAAATAAAATTCACTGGATCTTAATTCTGATTGATAACTCCTTTGATAATTTCTTTAATACCTGATAGGTAGCCCCTCCCCTCTTAACGGCAGTCAGTTGTAAAAGTGGTTTACAGTTCTCGACTGCCGCATGGAATATCTTCAAAGGGTCCACCTCAATCTTGGCTCGCTCCACTGGGTCCTCCTGCTTGTGGTATCTCTTGACTTGTATACGTTTGATACGCTCAAAGCACTACAAATTAAATTTTTTAATTAGTTGATGGAAAATAAAATTTAAATTAAATTAGGCTAATAACAAGTTTATATACATAAGTTAGGCCTTCATTATTGACTATAGATGAGCCAATATATATGTGAGTGGGGGAACGAGCTGGTCTAGTGGTTAGAGCACGGGGACTCCAGTTCCTAAGGTCCCGGTTCAAATCCCACCAAATCACCAATGGATTTTATCTAAGTGTTAATGCCCTAACCCCTAGGTCTATCCTGAAGTAATGTGAAAAACAATTCCGGGCTCGTGCCTAGCGTCCTAGGACAAAATATATATATATAGATGTGAGTGTCAGAGACTCGCTCACGTCTCCTCCTCAAAGTAATAGATATTATCTTCGCCTCAACATTACCACAGTTTATTATGATTTTTTTTATGTGGCCAGGAACTACTATTAAGCGGATAGAAAAAAAAACTCAAGATGGCTGACTTTATCGGATGCATGATTTTCTGCTCCCACTTTTAGCGGGTTAAACACAGTTCTCACTCTTCTTCTGTCTCCACTGCAGCATAGTCCTTTTCTAATTGATTCGTGAGTTCATTGTAATATGTCTAAAATCCAGCAATTTCTCATTTTATTATCTGTCGAATAACAAACAGACACTTACCCTAGCTGCTAACAACAAATTATCTGCAAACTTAACCTCAACCTGTGTTGGTCAACTCCATTTCCCCCTGTGTTACTGTCAACAAGCTCTGACGTCACATGAGCCACGGAGGGATCTGCGCTACTCTACTTTTTGGCCACAGCCTTATAGATATCGTTCTCTGCTTCCACTTTTAATACTATATAAAAACTCCATTTATCTGGATCTCTTGCTGGTGGATTCAGTGGCTAACCTGGGATTTTCTCAAAGGGATCCCATTGTGTTAAATATTTCCCCGGCCAAATTAAATATCCACAGGACATGGCTCACTCACAGACAACGTGTAAAATATGCATGAAGACGGTTCTGGATTCGGAAGAGGGAATTGCATGTGAATCTAACTGTTCTCGCTGGTTTCATCGCATCTGTGTAAATTTATCCAAGAGCGAATACACTATTTTCTCTAAGGATGCCAACAAAAAATGGTACTGCGGCAGAGTCGATTGCGCATCCCCGAACGAAGATCCCCTACTTGTCTTAACGACTAGCCTCAATAAATTAATGAACAAGATCGATAGTTGGTCTGATAAGATAGAAAAAATTACTGAAGTGTCTCATGGAATTACCGAAATAAAATCCGACATTGGTCAAATAAAAGAACAAATAGCGAAACTAGAACCACGGGTGTCTGCAAATGAAGCTAAAATCGATAATCTAGTTTCTAAAGTTGATTTGTTAGAGAAAACTCCGTCTAACGACCCCAATACGTTAATCCAAGAAATGAATGATAGATCTCAACGAAGTAAAAACGCTATTCTACACGGGATTCCTGAATCCACAAAAAATGAAATTCAAGCAAAAATTGATCACGACAAGGAATGCATTAACACCCTTCTAGACGCCCTCCAACTAAATAATCTCCGCATCACAAAAGTGATAAGAATCGGTAAGCACACTGCTGATAAACCTCGCCCAGTTAAACTCTCGTTCGCAGACTCTGAAGAGGCCTTTACTTTCTTCAGACACTTTCATCCTGATAAATGTGCAAATGCCTTTCCTGGACACACCATTGCTATCACTCGAGACCGCACACTAATGGAGAGAACGCATTTAACTGAACTTTTATCAACGCTTGAAGAAAGGAAGAAGGCAGGTGAAAAGGACCTCACCATCAAGCACCACAGTGGCGTTCCCAAGATTGTGAAGCAGTCAAAAAACTAGTTACATCCAACGGGCATCTCAGAGCTTATTATCAGAATGTGAATGGCATGAGGGGTAAACTAAGCAGCATCAAACTATCCATTTCTATGTGTAATTTTGACATTATAATCTTGACAGAAACAAACCTTTCAGATGATGTCTTCGATGCAGAAATATCTCCCGACAATTTTACTATCTACCGGTGTGATCGATCTCCACTAACCAGTTCTAAGTCCTGCAAAGGAGGTGTTTTAGTTGCCATCAAAGATAATATAGCTTCGACTCGCTTGATATCAAATGTAAAAGAAGTGGAACATCTGCTGGTTAAAATTGAACCTTGTAAAGGCACTAGCTGGCTTCTAGTAGCTTGCTATATACCACCACATCAGCACGTCTCCAAGTACAGCAGCTTTCTTTCCTCAGTTGAAGAAGTCATGTCCTCCGGCCAGAATTTTACTGATATCATTATTGTCGGTGACTTCAACATTCCAGGTATTAATTGGGACCATCCACTGGACAGAGGCCACACTCCATCATCTGGAGTGGTTCTTACTTTGATGGAACTTTTTTGTCTGAAACAAATTAATCACGTTTTTAATGGAAGAGGCGTCTTATTAGACTTAGTACTCAGCTCTAATATGAACTTCACAGTGTCCTTGGAAAACGATTTTCTTTTAGATGTTGAAGAGAGACACCACCCCCCTTTATCCATCATTTTGCCTTACAACTCCTCTACGAAACAAGTGACCTCCAAGAAGAAGCAGTATACACACGACCTTAAAAGATGCCGACTAGATGTTGTCCATAGATCTCTTTCCTCTATAGATTTTTCGTCTGTCTTGAGCACACCTGATCTAAACCAAGCCACTGACGAATTTCTTTCTGTAATTGCTGAGGTTGTCAAGGAAAACTCGCCTTTAAGAAGGGTAGGTTCTTCTCCATTTCCTAGATGGTTCTCCAACGACTTAAAAAATCTAGTGATCACTAAGAAAATCCTTCACAAAAAATATAAGCAACAGCCAACAGCGTACAACTACCAATCCTTTGCAAATGCTAGGGCTTCGTGCAAGAGTCTGGCAGTCAGCGAACATAAGAAGTACTTAAGATCAATTGAGCAGGGTATCCCTGGGAATCTCCGTTACTTCTGGAGTCACGTCAACACTCTAAAAAAGTCTTCCACAATACCATCCCGTCTTGTCTACAATAGTTCCATCGCAACTGAAGCTGACGACATGTGCAACCTCTTCAAGAATTTCTTTTCTTCAGTTTTTACAAAGCCAACGGAATCATTTGATGTGTCAACCTTTGGTCACCTTGGAGACTCCCAAACTTTAAGGTTTAGCCCACGTGAAATCTTTGAGAAACTTGAAAAGCTCGATGACACTAAAGGTTGGGGTCCTGATGGCATACCTCCAAGGGTATTGAAACACAACAGGTGTTTACTGGCTCCACCAATCTGTGACATATTTAATGCCTCAATGGACACTGGTATCTTTCCTGATGCATTCAAAAGGGCTTATGTGGTACCGATTCATAAGACTGGTCCAGTTGAAAATGTTGCTAACTATAGGCCAATCTCGATTCTTTCCTCTATATCTAAAGTATTTGAAGACCTTGTCCTTGATCGAATCAAACATAAACTTGCAGGGATTGTATGCACTCAACAGCATGGTTTTACAACAGGAAGATCAACAGTGTCTAACTTGATTCTTCTCCAAACCCGAGTTCAACAAGCCTTTGCCTCAAACAAACAACTTGATGCTGTTTATTTGGATTTCTCCAAAGCCTTCGATACGGTGGACCACACCCTTCTGCTGCGGAAAATTCAAGACCACGGCTTTGGAAACAAATTCGTCATGTGGCTGGCCAGTTATCTGTCTGACCGTCGTCTCAATGTCAAGTATGCGTCGGCTCTCTCCTCTGAATTTGTTTCCTACTCAGGGGTACCCCAGGGATCGTTACTTGGTCCGTATCTCTTCACAGTCTTCATTAATGACCTCCCTGACGCACTTCAGAACGAATCTCTGCTTTTCGCTGACGATGTAAAGATTTTCTCCACTATATCTTCTTTAGATGACTGCCTCCGGATTCAGAGAGATCTGACTAGTCTTGATCGTTGGTGTGAGGACAACAGGATGAATTTGAATATCAAGAAGTGCCAAGTCATTACTTTTCATCGCTGTAAAGTCCCTATAAACTACAATTATTCAGTTCACAACTTAAATATTGACCGAGTGCAGCAAGTTAAGGACCTCGGCATCATCTTGACGCCCTCATTGAACTATCAAGCTCATGTATTGGATTTATGCTGTAGAGCAAACAGAACGCTCGGTTTCATCTTCCGTTTCTCAAAGCAGCTCAGCGGTTCAGAAGTTCTAAAGTCCCTTTACTGTGCCTTGGTGAGGCAAACTCTCGAATATGGTTCACCAATATGGAGTCCTCATCAAAGGTTACTAATAAATGAGCTGGAGAAAATTCAACGAAGATTTGTTCGAATGGTGGGCTTCAAGATGGGATTCCCATACCTTCAGGTGCCCATTGACACTATATCCCTGGAACTTGGTCTTCAGTCGCTGGAGGAACGTAGACTCATTGCTGACACGGTCCTGCTGCACAAGATTATCAACGGAAGAGTCGACTGTCCTGACATGCTCCGCCAAATCCATTTCAAGACTCCTTCCAACACAAGGTCGACTGATCTGTTTATCAAGCAACAGCACCGCACTAGCTACTCAGCAAACAGCACGATGGTTCGGGTCCAGGGAGCTGGCAACAAAGTGACAAGGCATGTCGACTTTTTTCTAGACAGCGTAACTACTTTGAAAAAGAAGATCATCAGTCTCAGTCAGTCCTAATTAAAATTGTTTTTCGTTGTACCATTCATACTAATACTACTTGTCTGTAAAAATTTCACTTTTGTCTTTGCATTTAACTTTAGGTCTGTTGTTGCTCTTTAATCAATTTAATTTTTATATTAGTCAATCTATATATTTATCTTTCTCATTTGTTATTGTTGTTAGTGGGTTTGTTGTTATTGTTTCATATTTTTTATTTATTGTTGTTGTCTTAAATTATTTATTATTAGTATACCTTTGTTATTTTGTCAGTTGTTGTTTTGTTTGGCTAGGTTTGGCATTGTTACTGTTATTTGTTATTAGATCATTATATATTGTCGATTTATTTCTAATATAAGCACAAAATTTGTATTAACAATTAAGTCATCCTGAGTTTAATGTTTTGTTTTGTATGCTGTAAAATGGAGATGTCCGTGGGAAATAAATAAATAAATAGATAGAGGGACTAAACATGACAAAACTCACCTTTAGCATCAAAATTTGAGCTCGAAGCTTCTTCCCTTCCCTCATCAGATAGTTGGTAAACTTTCTAAAACAAAACCACATATGATTCAAATAAAACAATAATAGGCAGCTGATATAGTTGTAATGAAGAATAATGGGGGTAGCAGCCAGCTTACGTTGAAAAGTGCAGGGAGGCCAGGCCATACATAGGAGACTCTGAACATAGACATTTCATACTCCGGGAACTTTGTCAAGTGCATTTTATTCTCTCTATCACTTTCTCCTTTCTCTGCACTTGACAAGTGAACAAAATGTTTGGTGTTCACTATCTCTTCTGTATGTTCTATGGCCTCCCTGCACCTTTTCAAAGTAAACTAGCTAATATCCTCCTTATTCTACAATTCAAAATTCTGGCCTAGAGCCAAGGGCTTTCCTATACCCATCTGTGGGGGGGGGGGCCTGGTGTGTATGGAATATCCCCCATCAGCTGTACTATGCTGTATTAATGCTATTGTAGCTGATTACTACCTTTGTATTAACCTGTGATCATATATTAATTCCTACTATAGGAACTGATATAAAAAAATACTTCTTTTTTTTACATTTGTTTTATTTATTTACAATGTAAGAAATGTGTAAGATTAAAATAAATTAGCCTAATGTGTTGAATTGCCAAGTTAAAATTTCCATCATAGTAAATTAAAATTCCACTGAAACTTAAATAATAAAAAAGGCGAAAAGAAAACGCGAGTTTCCTTTATTGCTTTTACAATTAAAATAAACATACCGAGCCATGGCTCGGCCCCCCGGTATTATAACTAATTTAACCTAGATTTTATTTCAAACTTACTGTATAATTGGATCATTATACACAGATATGTTCTCAGTGTTAGTCGCTGGTAATATCGGTACATGGGCAAGTTTTGAAATCTCTCCAGTTTCTTGAAGTTGTTTGATTTTCTCACGACTAACAATCGGAGCAACGTATGAGGGACTGAATATTTTATGCCGTACAGGAGTCAACAATCTGAAATAAGAGACATGACATAATTTTCTGACTTATACGGTATGGGGTTTTTAGTAAGGGGTTAGAGAGGGCTAAGTGCACAAGCTAAAATAGCATCTGCAACCATTGAATTAAGCCCACAGTAGACACAAAATAAGTTATATACATTTTCTCAAACTCTGCTAGTGCCAAGATATCGGTAAAATGCTTCAGTAAGTTATGTAGGCTAATTTAGTACAGTACCTAAGTAATACATGGGATTAGGGGCTGGTTTAACAAAGCAATAAAATTGCTAAAGATAACTGTATGGTAGGCCTTAACTCTGCTACCAAACCCAAGAAACGAAATGACCCATTTAGAAATTTAGAGCAACTGACATGAGATCTTTGCACATATCACAGTTGTTCCAGAGAGAGGAGATATTATACATTCAGAGAGATTAGAGATAAATACATTCAGGTTTTTATGGCAGACATACCTATTTCGGAATGACGTAAGTTAGGCGTTGATCAGAAAGATCTGTGATTGTGAAACAGAACATAACTTCACATTAAATAACAGACCCAACCCATGTCATTGGTAAATCTGAACTTTCTAGACTTTCTTTTAACACGTTCGCTGCGGAACGTCAAATGGCGCGCGTATCCCCAGTGTGGCGCAGCCCTCAGCGTCAAACAATACCCATTGCCGTGTGTGATTGGCTTTCCAATTTTGGTCTGACGAATAGCAAATAACGTGCGGAGATGTCCTGCTTCACAACGAGAGTCGACCTAGTTTGCTAAACACCCACAGACAGCAGCACTGCTTGGAACGTAGCCGGTCCCATTGGAATGGTATTGCCAAATGGAGGGGAAAAGACGGGACGAAAAGTAGATTTTTGAGATTGCCCGACGGGGATTTTACGGGGAAATTTACTAACAACCTACACCACAACAAAATACAAGTCACATACTACACGCTAACGTGGTATAGGTCCGCTTCTTTCGGCCGACGCTAGAGCAAAAACGAAGATATACAGAAGGCATTGCCGAGCGATCCCGATGGGGTACGGATGCACCGTACGGGGGCCAAGCACTGTACCCGATCGGGAACGGCCCCACTCGACGTGTTAAGCATTTCTAAACCATTCATACAATACTAATAACCAATAAACTACACTAAAAAATGTTTTTAAGGTGCGGGAACTACCACAAATTGCAAAATTATATATACGGAACTACTCTCTCAAGGCGCGGAGCATGTATCGCACACCAAGGAACCAAGAACAAGAAGTGATACGGATCTACCGCGATCACAGTGACTTAATTTTGGGCTCATAGAATGATAGTGACTAACTGCTCATTATTTTATTATGATTGTTTATGTTAGGCCTATTTATTATTTCAAAAATGGAACTGTTCTCTAAGTTAACAAAACCTAACCAAACTTGCTGTATGATTCCATCAATCGGTTTCATGAGAGAAAAGGCATGTGGGGAAGCCAGGCCGGGCTTATGATGATTCAGTGACTACATTAAGCCCTTTGAAGGTAGGTTAGATTAGGTACCGGTAAGTTTAAGTGTAGGTTTTAGGTCATTAGGTTGTTCATTGATGTTACACCCATAGTCTATTTTTTTAACTTTTTTAATAAATGGCCATATCACAGAGAAGGAATATGGAGAAAGAGACCTACAGTAGAGTTATACAAGCAGACGGATACTATTACAGACAACTTTAAGGCGAGCAAGATTTTATGGTCACATTTACTGGATGAACGACAGCAGACTCGCCAAGAAAATAGTTAATATAACTTAGTAAAGAATAGTAAAATGAAAACTGCTTGGATGAAGGAAACCATGGAAGATCTCGTAAAACTAAACATCTCTGAAGAAGATATATCAAACAAGAGTGTGTACAGAGAAAAAATCTGAAAACATAAGTTCACAGAAACACCTAAAAAGAAAAGGATTGGAAAGAAGTGGACAGAAGAAATTAAGAGAGACACAGTGGCATACATGAGAGGTGTTTGGAAAGAAAGAAGGAAAATACAGGAGACCATGATAATGATGATTGTGTTTTAGCGCTCTCCTAAAGGGGAATTATTGATGATGATAATAATAATATATATATATTACGGTATATAATATATAGGGGCCTATGTGTATGTATAGGCTATTATGAAAATTGTAGTTATTAGGGCAACGATTTGTATATATAAATTACATGACTAAGTTATGGCATTACCGGTACTGTCAAAACTAGTCGTATAATAAAATGAGTCTGAAAAGGGTAGGCCTACATAGTTTTTAATGATATACATAAGTTATATGTACCGGTATATATATAAATTTGAACAAATAGTGTTTCTGGCATCTCCCTAGGGACATAGACATAAAACTACTAAAGGCACGGCCTCTCTATTCCATTAATGAATATTTTGTTGAGGAAAGTTAAGCAATTCTAAAGTATTAACACTTTAAACTTGATGAAATCTATCCAGTCATTACTGGTCAGTGATGGATGTATGGTATAAGGTATCAAAATTAACAGTATCGGTCCTGGGCCTATATCTTACCATGCCACCTACGGTAATAGCTAAGTTAACTTAACTTACTTCCTGTATTTAAGGATATTCACTAAAATGTGTGCAACATCAGTAAACAATCTGATTAGGCCCTACCTTTAACCTACACAATACCTTCTTAATCTAACCTATCTTCAAAACACTTAAGAAACTTAATGTAGGCCTTGCCACGAATCCACATAGCTTAACCCCCGACCTGCATTCCCCACATACCTAAATGAGATCTCAGTTTAATTTCACTTCAACCAAAATAGATCTGTATCACTTGCTTGTATGTGATGGGCTCCGCTCCTTGAGAAAGTCGTTCCACCCAACTTAGGACTATCTCCAATATTTCAAACTTAACAATTGGCTTAACCAGTGGAGCCTTATAGACTAATATGAACTAAACTTATTGAAATGGTTACTCTACCAATTGGTCAGTCAATTTTTACTTAACTTGGCCTTAGGTTAACCTTACCTAACTAACCAAACGATTTATCGAATAATCAATATGTTATGGATATTCTGATAATACTAAAGAACAACTTGAGGGATTATAGTAAGAGAGAGGAGGTGCATGATTACCATACTAGGAAGGCCCATAACATCGACGTTCCCCGCTGCCGTCTCAGTCGTACCTTGAGCTGCTATCCCCGTTCAGCGATCAGAATATTTAATACTCTGCCTACCCAGATGCGGGAGATGGATATGCCATCCTTCAAGAGGGAACTAAAAGGGATACTTGCTAAAAGACCGCTCTACTCCCTTAAAGAACTCGATGATGAGCCCCTTGTAAAATAGCGTATGTCCGCCTTGCCATCCAATAGACGGCCAAGTTTTTTTTTATAGTAGCCATTTATATGGTTTTGTAAATATTGTATATAGTTTTATTTTATCTGATTATATATTATAAATTATGACGCAATCTATCAGACTAGATCTGTCAAAGATGCAGGATTCAAGTATTCAAGTAAGTATAATCGATATATCGATCGATATTTTCATTCGAATGAGTGTAGGACCTAAAGTTAAGTGCAGCCTCCCCTATGCTTACTTAACTTAGTAGAGCTGCCAGTAAGTTAGGCCTAGGCACTCAATCAAACATCAATGTAGTACTTAGTACAGGCCTTTTTACTTTCCACAGCCACATTAACAAGTTCAAACCTAATTCTAGTAAAAGGGCTTTGTGAGCACTGATGTAGTGTTTTCTATTCCATAAAAATTAATGTTATTAGCCTAGGCCCATTCCCATCATAGGTTAAACAAGTTTGCATTTAGCCTGTTATAACTTAGGTACTTACAAATTTCCTGGAGTTAAAAAAGATAGTTTTAGTAATTTGGTACTTTTTCTTACGATCCTTGAATTCATAATTAATTATCCAAAAATCTTCAAAATTCTAGTTGGCAAAACTATTTATTTTGTTTGAGTCGAGTTACGTTATATAGAACTAGAAAGTTTTTGTTCGACTCTTGTTTTGAGGTTAGTTTTTTTGTTTCAATTTCATCACAATATTCATTCACAATCACAGCTGATTCCATCTTAATAACTTTTTTCTTGCTCTGTACTGGCCAGCTGATTTCAGAATCAGAATCAGAATCAATATTTTATTCCATTAGACATGTACATGTATTAGGATACGTCAAAAAAGTTGAATACATGCTGCAAAAACACAAGTCAAAGATAAATTACAGTACACAACAAATAAGGCATAGACAAAAAAATCAAATAGATACAAAGGTCATTTAGATGGCACAGTGAAGACTACGGTATACTTACAGAAAAATAGATAACAAGATAAAATTTAGTGAAAAAAAAAAAATACTTAGAACAAGGCAGTGACTAGATTATGATTTCTTTGGTTGAACATTCAAAAATTTCTCCCAACCCATAAAAAGGGTGTACAGTCAGCCACAGAAGAATTTTATTTTTGAAGGCTTTGTTGTTCAATAACAGTATTTCCTTGGGGAGTTTATTTAGGCATTTGAGTCCCAGTACTTCATAATAAGATTTCATTTTTTCAAGTCTAACATAAGGGATGTCAATTTTACCTCTATTCCTAGTATTAAACTTGTGTACATCACCCCTAAGAGTGTGGGATTTCAGGTTCTTAAAACTAGTCAACAAAATGTTATATAAAAATAAATTAACAACGGTCAAAATCTTAAAATCTACAAAAATTGGTCTGCAGTGTTCCTTGTGATTGGCATTTGCCATGATCCTGATCACCTTTTTCTGTATTAAAAGAACATCAGTGATGTAAGGGCTGCTGCCCCAAAAGATTATTCCATAATTAAGAGCTGATTGGAAAAGTGCAAAATAGGCAGTTTTTTTATATAGTCAAAAGGAACAACATCATTGAGTTTTCTGAAAAGAAATGTCAATCTACTTAGTCTAGTACAGAGATGTTCAACATGATATGACCATGACAGGAGTTGATCCACATAAACACCCAAAAACTTAACAACTTTGACCTCACATTGTGCTTCAGGAATTTTACGAAGTCCAAAGACAACTGTTTGGGTTTTCTCATCGTTTAACAGAAAGCTATTCGCAGACGAGAACCATTCTGCTGCTACCTTTACTGAGTTTTTTGCCTCTAGCTCAAGAGATTCTAAATCTCTGCTGTGTGTAAGCAAAGTTGTGTAATCAGCATAAAGGTATGTGTTACATTTGAGACTGGATGGAAGATCATTTATAGAGATTAAGAATAGCAGAGGGCCCAAGACAGAGCCTTGTGGTACCCCACAGTTGCTTAAGGCAACTGCGGACCACCGACCCCCACAGCAAACCATCTGTCTTCGGTTACAAAGATATGTCTTCAACAGTTTTAAAGCATTAATTTGAACACCATAAAATTCCAACTTATGGAGCAGGACATCATGGTCGACACAGTCAAACGCTTTGCTGAGATCAATGAAGGTCGCCCAGGCATATTCTTTTTGTTCAAAAGCGTTCAATATGTCATGAACCATGGAACCTATTGCATCCATAGTGGACTGTCCACTTCTAAATCCAAATTGATGTTTGTTGAAAAGTGAGTTTAATTCAAAAAAGTTAGTCAGCTGATTGTATACTACATGCTCTAGCACCTTGGACAGTACAGGTACTAGACATATTGGCCGATAGCTGCTTGGGCTGTCTCTTTCCCCTTTTTTGAAAATTTGACAAATTTTGGAAATTTTTAAACCCTCTGGAAAAACCCCTTCCCGAAGACAGACGTTTATACAGTGGGTTAAAGGCACTACAATATGTTCAGCAACTTCTTTTATTAGCCAGTTAGAAAACCCATAATAGTCTTGGGTTTTGGTGTTCTTCATATTGGATATAATCGAAGCAACTTCAACACAACTAACTGGTGAGAAACTGAAAGAGATATTCTTACGAGTCATGTTGGTTAAAAATTGGTCATAAGAGTTGGTAGGTTTCTTAATGCTGTTTCTAATATCAGCTACAGAATTAATAAAAAAAACTATTGAGGATATCTGGGTCAATGGGGACATTGTTTGTTTTACAGTTCGATTGAGAATTTTGTTTGATAAGAGCCCAGGCGGCTTTGCATTTATTGTCCGAACTGTCAATTAAACTGGCATTGTATTTGAGTTTTGCTTCTCTGACTGCTTTCCTATACTCAGACTTACTATTCTTATATACTAATTTACATAGATCATTATTAAATATCTTATAACTATCGTATGCACATGTTACGAGCATTTGTTGTTTGTTATTGTTTGTTTGTTGTTATTGTATTTGTTTGTTTTGAGCAGATTTCTTAACCAGGTAGCTTTTATGATTTTAGTTGATTTGTTGCAGTTAAAATTAAAGTTCAAATAGCTACTTATTTTGTTAATTATATTAGCGAATTTTTTCAGAAAAGGAACAAGCTCATGGTGGAAGGAAAAACATAGGTGTGCTATTCCCGTCATATGCTGACGTTACTCAGATTGCAAACACCATTTTACCATTTACAAAAAAAATTTTGTAAATGGTAAAATGAAAAAATTATTATAAAAATAATGAGGTAAATAACACCATACGCCCAAATGCATATATATTTTATGTGTGTGTGGGTGTCCGTTAGCACAATAACTAGGGGGGAAATGATCCGATTTTGGTGAAAATTTATTCAAACAAGTTCATTAACTAACATGATCAGATAATTTTTGCTTATGTCTTAAAAATTGGGTTTTCCCAATTTTGACACAAAATAAAATTTTAGAATAAATAAACTATATTGTATTTAGCAGATATACATTTAAAAATTTGGCAAAATCATTTATTTTACCATTATACTGTACTATTAACATTTGATCGAAAAACACCCAAGCATTGCTTAGTCTGCAGGGTATAATTTGGGTTTTTTCAATAATTACATCCTATGTTCTTGTAAAGATGGGTTTCAAAGCTTCTAATCCACCAAAAGATGGTTTGTTCCAAAATGTCTAAAATCAAACTTTCCTGATCAGCGGAGGTCGTTTTGGGTTTTTGCTGTTCACGCCAGTTTTCCAGTAGGTAGCATTATTAGTGGAGGAATTAGATGAAGAGGGAATGCAGTGCTAGCCCATATTATGTGTTTGGATGTGCACAAGTTAGTGTTGCCTTGGTGTGCCTCAAATGGAACCCGTCGCCCCCTACCGCACCCAAGTCCGAGACGCTATCTCTGTGGTCAAATTTGAACCATTTCGGACCTTTCCATAGTTGGTTAACTTACCATGAATGTACTAAATTTCGCGCGCTTAAAAAATTTCAACAGAAAGGGTTTTACAGGGAGGGGGTAAAAAATTAGTTTTACTAATTTTTGACTTCCAAAAAAACACAAAATTACCCAATTTATCTCTTGTAGCCCATTTCAAAGAGCTTAATAAACAAATAATTTAATACATCAACGTTATTGTTTACAGAGAAAATTCCAAAAATTTTAAATTCTCACAATAATCTTAAGGAGAATAAGTTAACTGTTATAGTTTGCTTGTTTATGGATATATTTTTATCAAACTTGGAAAATTTGTTTATTTCATACTAAGCTATTAATATTTTACAAAAATCATACTTTATTATACCCTTCCTGTAGCAGCAAACCTAGGTATTTGATAAACGTAATGTTACAAATGGATTTAATTGAAAATAATATCAGGCAAATGGACATTCCCTTACCTGCAGGTTTGCTGCGGTTGGCGGGTTGGGGTATTGATTTCTATATTCTGCCAGCAACATTTTTGCTTCAAGGGTTGCAGTAGAAAGAATTTAGATAAACACTTTAAGTCAAATTGGTCTGTGCCAGGAATTGAACCTGTCCCTGAGGCACTAAAGTCAGAGAAGTTACCCACTATAAGCTAGCAACACTGCACTGAATATATTAAAACAAGCTGCTCTGCTGCTGTACCCGTGCTTCGCAACGGAGAGGAAACTGAAGCGACAAATTTGATCTCTAAATCTGTTATATAGAATCGTTAGGTACACATTCCCCTTTGATTTCAGGACCATAACTCAATTGAAACTCTTAGTTTAAAAAATATATTTTTTTAAGGCTAGGCTAACTTAAGGCTACCTAGTACGAATGATATGAGGCGCTGATGCATGTATGGAAATAATGATCCTATGGGATTAAATTTTCAAATGATAAGCTTACATAAAGATTTATTTTTTTGATGAACATACATATAAAGTAAATAAGCAAAAATAATCACACACAACATAGGACACTGTAGTAAATAAAAAAAAAACAGTTTATATTGATTTCACATTATTGATATGTTTTACCACTACTGAGCTTTTTTAAGAGTTCAATCTTTACCTGCAGATCAGTGTGTATATATCACAATAATAGCAAGTTCAAAACGTGTATGTATATGTATTTATTTACATCATCATTTAAAACATTGAGTAAAGAAACATAGTTACGTTACAGAATCGATTTTAGAAACAAAAGTGAATTGGGCGCAGCTTAGTTTTGTGATATTCTCCTTCAAATTAAAGCAGTGTTGTAAAAAACACAACTACTAAGCAGGTTTCTGTAAATGTAAAAACAAACGAATGTGAAGTAGATGATAGAAGAAAATATAAGTAGGTAGTAGCTACCTCTGGACAGAATAAAATGAGGTATAGTTAAATTTAGTTTGTAAATTTAATTAAAACACAAATAATAGTGTAAACCTTGAGTCAGTTAAGTTTTTAAAACTGTACCAGTACATATACTGTATCTTAGTTTTTAAAACGTATTAAAATCCTAATCCAAACATTTGTTTATCAGTTAAAATTTGTAAACAAAAAGCTACCATATCAAAATTATTCAAAAACATTTATACATTGTAATGATACTTCTGTTTCCATGAAAATAAGTATATTTTCATAAATATTTTAACCAAACTTTTCTCATAATCATAAAACTTTTGAATCTTGGGAGCAGAACCTGTAACTCTTAACCTCTGCTGCTTGAACTGTATTTACAGCAAGCTGACTTAAATTAATATTTTTGA